ATTTAAATAAAAGCAATATAATTTTACTGATGTCACCATTAAATGCTCAAGCCCTTCAGGTTGCTCGTAATATCTGCCTGAAGAAACATAACCCTGACTGTCATCAATAAGTGGATGTTTCTATCTTCTTAATCTAGCCCTAACCCTCAGAGACTTTCTAAGGCTGTTGCAGCTGCAATGAAAGTTGAGATTTTCTGGCTTTAATTGGGGAGGAGGGTGTCATTAGGGTCTTAATGACATCATTTGAAGGGCCGTTGGTCTGTAAAAGTGGGGCCTCTTGACATTGCCCACAAGGGCAGAACTTTGAACAGATGTCTAGAGCATCACTGGGCAAAACAGGCAGGGTGTCCACAAATACTCCAGGGCTGGCTTATCACATTTCAAAATAAGTAAAAGAATACATATTGCCACTGTGTGCTGTCTTTAACATTATCCTTTAATGAGAATCACAGTAGCAAAGAGGGTACTTACCCAGTGGGAAGCTCTTTCCATCATGTGCCTCCTGGTAATCTGCTGCCTAGTGACAGTTTGGGGAGAGTTAATGTGTGAATAAGAGTGCTCTGGGGACTTTGGGGGTCAAGACCTCATTCTGTTGCTGGAGGATGGCTTGAATGAGACTGTACCACAAATGAGTGTGGGCATCACTTCCGTACAAAAGGGCATCAATGTCTGTTAGTCTGGTTGGCTAAGATGGATTGGGGACTGTTTCCTGCTGCAGATACATTCCCTGTTTGCTCCGCATTTCATATATTTTATTGCTTAGGATGAGGTGCTAAAGGGATAGATTAGTGTAAACCCAGTGCTAATATGCCAAGCTCTCTAGAGAAGGTGATACTGCTAAGTAAAGTGGAAGGAAAGAGTAAAAGAAGACAACCAAGACAGATAGACTTGATTAGAGTGGCAAAGGGTATACCATTAGAAAACCAAAAGGACCATCTTGGAGACAGATCATCCTGAAGGGGAAAAAAATCCCTTTATGTCATCACTATTAGTTAACATCAATTTGATGGCACGTAATCAATACACAATTCAGCCCAGAATTTAAGTCTTAAATCGAAGCAGTCATTAAGCTGATCACCACATGCCCTGACTGGACGTTATGACAGCGCCCTGGCTTTCCCAGGCATAATCATTAAGCAACCATGCAGGTCATTAAGTGGACAGAGAGAAAACTGCCTGCTGAAAGGTTTCATTATTAAGAACCAAAGGAGAGTATTTGATCCTAGACTGATCACAGATAATGATCAGAGTGATTTGTGGTAAATAAGAATCTGTGTACACTTTCTATGAGTAAATTACAAAAACAGACTATTGACAGTGAGCTTTGAACTAATTTCACTGTTATTTAACCTGTTAATTATTTTTTTTCATATATGTAATGTATGACAGATCAATTGGGTTGCAAATAGATGTAGAAGCTTATAAATTTATTTTTTTAATTCCCATTTTAAAAGTATTTTTGGTCTAGTTTTGTCTGGTTTTTTTTGTATTTTGTATTTTAATCTTTTGAATAAAAAAAACCCTGCCTGCTGAAGGGGGAAGGCAACGCCCCCTCTCTACACAGAAGGGAACTACAATGCTGAGAAAAAACTCAAATCGTCAGACAGTACTTTTGCTCTCAAACAGACTGGTTAAAAAGTCCCATAATGAGGATCATTTTCACCCAACCTTTTTGCCAGCAAAAATGCTGTTGCCGGAGAGGCTCTACCCAATGCTGGTCATAAGTTTGGGCATGGGTTGTAAGTTGCTTCGTTCAGTGCCATCATAATTTTTAAATGGTTGTTAAGCGAGGATTACCTGTATATTATTTACCATATATACTCATGTATAAGCCAAGTTTTTCTGCATTTTTTATGCTGAAAAAGCCCCCCTTGGCTTATACTCGAGTGAGGGTCCCACTTACCTGTTCTCCAGTGCAGTGTGGATGTTCTCCGGTCTCTCTGTTCATCTGCAGGCACCTGCAGCCTCTGTGGGTGGTCCGATAACTGCTGATATTACCGCTCTTCTTTTCTCCTGCACGCCGGCCTCTGTGTTGTCCGTGTCATACTGGGCAAGAACCTCCTTGCTTCTGTGTGCTGGTACCTGGGGCGCACCACATCCTTGTCAGATGAATGTCGGATGTGGCCGCTCTTCTTCTCCCGCTCTTCTCCAGGACTGTGACCAATGACGTAGCCTTTACAGTCTTACCTGTGCTTGGTCACGCCCCCTTACTCTGCCCAAACATTGCTGAATACAAGTACTGGTATATCTCTGGTCTTGGATATACAGTACGTTTATTTACAGTACTTATTCTGCTATATTTTATTTTCTTATTAACCCCTATCTGGCTTATACTCGAGTCAATAAGTTTCCCCAGTTTTTTGTGGTAAAATTAGGTGCCTCGGCTTATATTCAGGTTGGCCTATACTTGAGTATATACGGTAAGTGTAAACCGATCTTTCTAAGAAGCTGCAGAGGATGTCTATTGAGATTCTCAGTCATCCAGGTCATGGTTGTCCCAAAGGTGCTATTTTTTCCCACCATCTGCTCAGAGCTGAAGAAGCTTCTTGAATGAGAAGTGAAACATCTTCAAAGAAAAATCAGAAAGTCCAGTTGCCTCTTGAAAAAAAGCACCTTTGGGGCTGCAGAGGAAGTTATTTCTATATTAAATGTGGAGGCTTTTTAGTAACAAATTATATACAGATTCGGCTTGGAAAATTTATATCCAGTCATATCATTTCACTGGATGGTCAGAAGATTGTTTTGTAGGCATATTTCTCAATTATGCTGCTCTGAAGGCTTTAATGATGGATTGAATTAAAATAGCGAAATTTCCTGGTATTTATATAGTTTATCACTTGTTCTGAAAATAGGAATGCTGTCATATTTCAGTACTATCTTATTTCAGTAATGTGTAATATTTTGCAGACATTTTAATCCAATCCATATACCAAAGAACTCTAAGATAATCTATATGGCTCCCTTGCAATAATCCTGTAAAATACATTAAGCTGAAAGTAGGTAATTGGCAAGAGCCAAGAGAATGTTGAAAAACCATATACAGGCTGGATTTATGTATGGTGGTGAGCCATGACATGCTGTGTTTGACTGGTGTATGAAAACTGAACCCATCTGGTTTCAAAAGATTCAACACTCCATTGTTAGGTTGTCCATGTCTCACATGCAGGTTCCCAACTGCCTGAAATTGTTATTTGTTGAAGTTTGGGGTTGTGTTAAGAATTGATATGGAAATAATTTGGGACAAAAACAAGATTCCCCCCCTCCCAACTTTCCTGTCCTTAAAACTTGACAAAAATGGTCTCCAAAGGCCTGTCAGAGAATTTTATGATTGCTCCCATTCCTCATTCAATAGAATTCAATATAATACAGACACAAGCAAAAGAACAAAATCAAACTACAGGTAGTCCTCAACATATGACCACAACTGAGCCCAAAATTTATGTTGTTAAGTGATAAATTTGTTAAGTAAGTTTTGCCCCATTTTACAACTTTTCTTGCCACATTTGTTAAGTGAATTGCTGAACTTGTTAAATTAGTAACACAGTTGTTAAGTGGATCTGGCTTCCCCATTGATTTTGCTTCACAGAAGGTCATAAAAGGTTATCACATGACCCCAGGATTCTGCAACCATCATAAATATAAACCAGCTGTCAAGCATCCAAAGGTAAATCACATGACCATGGGGATGCTGCAACTGTCATACGTAAGGAAAATTATCATAAGTCACTTCTTTCAATGCTGTTGTAACTTCAAATGATCACTAAATGAACTGTTGCAAGTCAAGGACTACCTGCAGTTTCTTAGCCTGTAAAAGAGTTGAATTCAACAAACTTAGAGAGAAGGATTCCATGGATGAAAATCTTAAAATGGAAAGCAACTCAAAAAACTTGGAGAACTCTGAAAACTGTGGTTATAAAAGCCCAGTCCACCACAATGCTACTGAAAAAGAAAAATAAGAAATCCAAGAAGAAAGCAGCATGGCTACATAAAGAACACTCTGATAAACTGAAAGACAAAAAGAAGAAATATAAAAAACGGATAGACGGAACTTTCACAAAATGGAACTTTCACTAGATAAAAGATACTGTGGTCCAAGGATGACCTCGTGAGAAGGAGTGGGGGGACACACCAAAGCTTCCTTCAGGGCAGTTAGTACCAACCCTTTCCGCGAAGAGGCATTACTCACAGCTTGAACCCAACCAACTCCCAACTAGCCAAGAGGGTCATCGATCCAGAACAAAGTTCTGAACAAGTTCACAGCCTCAAGGACCACTTTTTCAAGAGCAACTGGCTCAAACTCCTCCCAGATTAACAAGGTTCAGATGTGTATCCATCATCTCTCCCCAGCCAGAATCCATGTCCAAGCAAAGTTGAGCAGCTTCATCTGACAGATGCCAAGAATATTTCTCGCAGCAATCCTGCAAGGGCATCCTTGCTCCTTCTTAACTAGGATGGAAAAGGTTACCCAAAAAAGACCTGTTGGGTAACTACCTGCAATATAATAAGGCAAAGTAATTTTATTTCACCACTTTATTACCACAAGCTAAGCCTAATACAGGTATTGGCATAAGGTAGTACTGGGTGTCAGTCTTGCTCTGTCTTCCTCCATCACCGCTCTAGGCGTCTCTTATGTCTCCTCAACTCTTTCAGCCACTCGATAAACTATGGGGTTCCATAAGATCCACATACACAGTATGATTCGATGCATGCCCTGTTCCACCAAGTTGCGATTCTTCATGTAAACTGATGTTACTGAATACATTTGGCAACAGTGATCAAGTTTCTAACAGGCACAGGAACTGATCTAGCAAGTCTTTCAAGCAAAAAACAAGAACAACCCTTCTGTTTCTATCTAGGTAACCTAGCACTTGAAATTGTCAATACAACACATTTATTCACTGCACATGTAAGTTGTCAAGCTATAAGAAAATTTATTAAAAACAAGTTAAGGTCTTCTGAAATAAGTAGTTAGAAAGGTATTCTCTCTCTTTCTCAGGACACTGAAAATAGGATTCAGTAATTCAAGTAAGGCTGTGGCTGAGATTAACTGTTACTGCTATTCTGGCCTCAAGAAATTTTGACGGTAAGTAAAGCTCAATATTACATATATAATTGGCTCTCCTTAGTTTCTGAACAACAAAGCATATCTTATTTCTCGGAAGCTTTGATTTTATTATATACATTTTGTCATTCTGTACTCTTTAAGAATACAAGTGAGTTCAGGGTTAAAAAATCTTTCAAATAGTTACAATAATGTATGTGGGGGGGAAGGTAATTTCCCATTTAATTGGATTCAGAGGTGGAAGAAGGGGCTACTTAATTTTTTTGCCAGCTTTTATCTGCTCAATTTAACTGTCCATGGAGGAAAAGTTGTAAATTTCCAATATTTTTCCACCAAATGAAAAACATACAAATGTAACTTATCAAGAAATTGATGTTACAGTCAAGTGGTGGGATATATTACATAGTGAGTTACTACAGAAGTCTAGGTGGGGCAGAGAGGTCACAGTTCCTTTCCCACCATCATACTCTAATAAATATACTGTATATTTGAGAGAATAAGGAAGCCCGGGGATGTCTTAATGGAGCCAGAAATGTTGCTGAGAAAATAGCATAAGTAATTCCAGAAGCAGCATCATATATAAAAGAGCAGCATGCTATCCCAAACCCTTAATGGGTTGAAAACAAAACAAAAAGTAAAATTTTGGGCACTGAAAGTAGAGTTCCTTTCTTTCTTATTCTTCAGAGAATATCTAAATGGCAAAATATCTCAAAAAATTATAAAATGTCTTTTTGATAAAGATTGTATTTCTTAATTGGTACCAAAATGTCTTGTGTTTGTTTTCAGCAAATTTATTTAGGTTGAAAGTGCTTCTGTAATTACTGTAGTAAAAAGGAGATGGGGGTGATCTAGATGAGGAAATCACCATCCCCCACACCACATCACACACCGCGCCAAATTTAGGCAGTTTCAATAAATGTATCTTGCAGAAAATGTAGGTCTAGCAGTGATAGGAAAAAGGCAACCAAAAATTTGATGTTGGATTCCTCTTCTAGACAAGATGTCTCAATTCTGGATCCAGGAGATTTGGATTCTTCAACAGCCTTGATTCTGGGGATATAGAAATAGTTGTATGAGAAAAATTACCTATAACTATGATCTCTATTCCTGGAGTGATAGACTGTGAATGCCTGTGTGTGAGAAGTTGGGCACCAGGGGCAAGCTTTGGATCTTGCTTATGTGCTGACCACACTGCTGCCTAGCAGGATCTATTCTTGAGCTCCTGGACATTGTTGCTGGTTTTGGAATTCCCCCAGCTTCTAATGCAAATAGTTAGCAACATCTCTTCTGTATCAAGGAATAGGAACAGGATCAAAGGCATTAAAGAGCCTCCACTGTAATATACTCATCAATAAATGGGAGATGATACACTGATACATTTCTGATGATACACTGTTTTATATATCTTCTGTGGGTTAAGGTGGAGATGGAAATCTTAACCTATTATCTTAGTGCTATGCTGACAACAATGTATTACAACCATACAGCATGTCAGCCTTAGTAAATTGACCAGACAGGAAATCTGACTAGATAAGCTAATTCTATTGTAAACCTACATTAACAAAATCTTGTAAATCCAAAATCTCTTGCCATCTCCTTTACAGTTCAAGAAACTAGGGACTGTCCCTTTTGAGATCTTGCCCCATCCACTATCTAGCTGTGGGCTATGTTCTCTCTATCTGATTGTTCCCTAGCTCTTTGCCCTATGTCCCAGGATCTTTCCTACATACCATTATTACATAGTATCACCATAGCAAATCAAATAAATCCCTCCAAAACATCTTAAATAAGCTAAAAGACCCAGTTGCTTATACTATACAATATAAAGACTATAACATTAAGCTACCATGCATGATAGGCAGGCAGAAGACTAGTAGAACGCATCCATGACCACCAAATAGCAGTCATAAAACATGATTTAAAACATTCTTAATCTCACAACACAAGGACAAATTATAGTTTCAGCTTGGAAACTGTGGGTGTTCTAGACCAAACTAAATACAAAAATGCTAGGGAATTCCTGGAAGATTCCAGAATAGTTTGTCAGCCACCAATAGTCATATAGAAATAAACCACATTTACACACTATTCAAAAAGACTAAGCTAAAAAACTAAGAAGGAAACAAGACTTGAACACATTCTCTCCAGCAACCAATATCCAGATAAGCAGGGATTAACACCAGACAAACTATCAAGCAGGAACCAATATCATAATCAAGGAACCACCAGAAAGAAAAATTACATCCCTAACAATACTGCTAGGGCAATCTGCTGTATATAAACAGGGAGAAAACCCCACACTCAAGACTAGCAGTGATGATTTAACCTAGTTGGTAATGAAATATCTGCAAAAAAACAAGCTCAGAGAGCACCAAGGACTCCACAATATGTAATCCATCCTGTGCTTTCCAGTTTGCATGTATATCCAAAGGTGCAACACAAGGAGGGAGCAGAAACACCCACACACTCTACTACACTACAAAGAATATAAATGCTTCTTAAAGGCCACAGCTGGTGAAAAGATTGGGAAAAAATCCTTCCTTTTCTATTGACATAACAGTCTCACAAAATCTAACCATTTTAAAGAATAACATTATAGCCGGGATAGGCTGATAAAATTCAACATGATGTTTTTGGAGTTTTATTGGGATAGATATATTTGGACAGGTGTACTATGCTGCACAAGTACACAGCTGATTTAAAGACTTGCAAGTGGCTGCTATGCTTTTGTCACAATGTTTTGTAAACAAATGTGAAATGCTTTGCAGCTCCAGGATATATGTTAAAATACAAAATATAGTAATTTATATTTCTTAGCTTCCATGGAAATGGTCAATTACATAAAGAGTCTAGGGTTCTCTAACAACCCCTTCATTAATATAAAAACAGAAACTGTTCTTAATTTCTTCTCATATAGAGTTCAATATTTGTTTGGGTTGGATTTGTAATGCAGATGTGATTTTAATTTCAAAACTTCTAAAACAGGGAAATAACTACTCAGAGATTTCTTTTCTGTATTTCAGGACTATCAGCTTTCAAGGTTCTCACACGTAATGGACCTAGAAACAATACCATTTTGCCAAGAATACCTAGCACAAAGAGGTACAATAGTGAAACCATATTACTGGCTAACAATGAGCCAAAACTGTACTAAATGTCCTTATCATATACAAACAGGGGAAGCAGCACGAGTTCCCTACACAGAATTTCAAAAGGCTTTTGGATTCCCATATGGGCCAACAGATTACCAAAATAAACACCTTCTCTTTTATGAGTTGAGACATGTATCAGGTAAATTAATTCAAAAGGGCCAAGTTACAAACTGTGAAGAATACAACATCCATCCCGAATCAATGCTATTTGAAATGGATGGTTATCTAGACTCAGTTGTACACAATTGGGAGAACATTGCATATATAATTCTTTATTCAAATTATTCTCCTTGTAATGAGGCAGAGCATGGGTGCATAAGCAAAATTTATAGTTTTTTAATGAAGCATCAAGACATCACACTCTGCATTTATTTCTCACAGCTGTATCACACAGAGGAGGATTTCCCCGTGTCTACCTGGAATTGTGAAGCCTTGCAGAGCCTTGCTAGCATGTGGCCTCAGGTGACACTGAATCCCCTCTGTGGTGGACTTTGGCATTCCCTACTCTCTAATTTTGTGAGTTCTATGCCACAAGCAAGATTCTACCACCCCATTTTGCCTATAAGAACCCTGGCTGATAAAAAAAACGCAACACAAATTCGCAGTATAACAGGAATGAAATTGCCTTTTGTTAACACCTTGTCTCAGCCAATTTATGGAACTTCAAGTGCTGCACCAAGTTTGCAAAACTATTACTTATCCACTTCAAACTACCCAGCAGAAGTGACAAGTAGCAGATTGCCTCCAATGGGAATGCCACCATTTCATTTCACACCTCCTATTAATACTTTGCCACCTTTATACAAGAAACCTAGAAACATTGTCAGACATGTAAACATGCTAAATGAGTCATTAAGCAAATTACCGGTAATACCAAAGGAAAGATCTCTTCACAGGGGAGAAATCATTACTGAACAACTTTCAAACAACAAATTTGCAGAGCTTGAAGGCTATAGAAAGAAAAAATTGGGAGTGAAAGACTGGGCAATTCATAGGAAGGAATAGATACAGCAGTGAGTTGAGTATGGAGAAGAACATTTTCCCCCATATGTAATTTGTATATTGGAAAAAAGACACGGAGTATCAACTGCCAGCAGCTGAAGAGAAGATGGCAAAGCAAGCTTTGGTTTTTCCACCAGATTCATTTACAGTAACAGCAGCAAAGCAACGGGCAACTATGAGGATTGTTTCTCAAACTGATAAGAATTTTTAAGTGACTATTTACCTAAAATCAGAGTATAGATCCCTTGTCCCCCCTCCCAAATCTGAGAAATCAACTTTGCCATACCACAACGAAGCTATGAAAAAATGAAACAGAAGTTCCTAATGTATAAATATTTATTTTTATTCTAAAAAGAAGAGTTAATATGGTTCAATCTTGTAACATTCTTACTTTCAATTAAGTTTGCCTATGAGAATTCTGCATGGAAAAATCTTTACTTTTGGTTCAGGCGGCTGTCACCGCTTAGACAGTAACCTTCTGTTTTCAATTTCAATAGAAAATTTCTTTCAGGCCAAAGATACCATTTGATGTTACGTTGATGGATGCATTAAAATAAAATGGTCAGAATTAGGACAAAAACATAGCTGAGGTGAGGGCAACTCTCAAAAAAAGGAGCTAAGACAAGAAAAAATAGTATGGCTCAAGTGGGTTTTTTTTATGTGTGTTGTAAATTTGCCATCTTTGTGGTACTGCTATAATTGATTATGAACTGGGTAATAATTTTTTCTATTGTTTTTTGTTTTCTGGTCATGGACTGCAATAAATAAACAATTCAAAACTGAACATCTTTGTGGAAAAAAACATTGTGCATGGCATATTCCTACATAAACTCGTGTAATTATTTTTCAAAATGCATTTTGGGTGATAAAGAATGCTACAGTAAAATGGCTTTCTAGCTTCTGTTAATCAGTGTTAACATATAAAATAGCTTGTGAAAGTTCCTCTAAAACTGAAATCCATACAAACATTCTAGATCAGAAATAAACAAAATGAGAGGAAGGTCCTAGGTGAAACAAATTTTGGCAACAAGAGATGGCTGTTCTGCAAGCAGCAGAAAAGCCCATGAAGTTCCATGAGACTGAGCCACAAACCAGATGAATTAAAGCATGATAGCTTAACCTCTTTTCTTTTAAAGTATTTTTTATAAATTATTCTTTGCTCTTGTAGACTGTTCCATTGTTGTGCTGTGAACTAATCTTGATCATAATGAAAGGCAACTGAGAAATGGATTAAATAAAATCTCAGTGAAGCTAGCAATCATGCTCGTCTTAGTGTCTTTTTATAAATGCATTGAACTTTAGAAAATAGGCCAATTTATGTTTGGTTTAGTTTAATTCAGTACATAAAAACCTCTACTCTTAACAAACAGTTGGAGGAAAATTATCTTTTTAAGATGTTACAATATTTTTAATTTGCTGAATCAGTCACATTATCTTAATTTAGGAAGAGATGAACCAGTAATTTAAATAGAGGGAATGTCTCTGCTCTTAAATCATACAAAATCCCACATCCCCAATTTATTTATATGTTCAATTAAATTTAATTCATTTGTTATCGCCTTAAATCACTATGTATTTTTGCTATTCTTTTTTAAATGGCAGATTAAAACCAGAATGATTTGATGAAAAAGACATACATATGTACATTTTTAATAGCAATAACAAAATGTAGTGTGGAAACATTTCATCAGGACCCTCTGCCATTGAACTAAGATGGCCAACCATGAAAAATATATGAAAACACCTATTATTATTGCTTAAGAGATTCAACAGTATTTCTTTAGGATTTTCCCCACACTGAACATTGGTGAATTACCTCCTGCAGAGTTTGGATGACTTCAATGATTTTATTGAAGACTGTTGTGGAAAAACTGGCTTGTTCCCCAGCTTCCTAGGATACAGGTCACTAGATGTTTAGAAAATATGTGGCCAAGAAGTTCATCTATGCCAAGGAAAACTTTTGTGGCGAGCAAAGATCTGCTGCTTCCCTCAGATACAGCCCAGGCTTTACTGAAGGAAGAGTCCCCAGTTCCCAGAATACAGGTAGTCCTCGACATACAAACATAATTGGTACCAGAATTCCCATTGCTAAGAAAGCAGTTGAGTCATGCCCTATTTTGTGAACTTTTTTCCAAGGTTAAGCTAATCACACTGCAGTTGTTAAATGAATAATGCAGTTGTTAAGCGAATCTGACTTATGCCATTGACTTTGCTTCTCGGAAGGCAGCTAGGAAGGTCGCAAATGGCAAACCCAAAATCCTGGGATGCTGCAGCCATTGTAAATATATGTTGGTTGCCAAGTGCCTGAATTCTGAACATGTGACAATTGGGATGTCCTAACGATTAGAAGTGTAAGGACTAGTTGCAAGTCACTTTTTTCAGTGCCATTATAACTTCAAAAAGCTGCTAAACAAATGATGTAAATTGAGGACTGTAGAATTTGTTTTTCATTTGTACGACAGTATAACAGCTTTTTTAAAAAAATTAATATTTTAATTTTTGTAAGCAGTATTGATAATTACCCATCTGTGAGAGGCAGCTGTATACATTTGACAAATAATGGGGTGGGTGGATTATAAGGTAACTTCTTCCCCCCATAGGATGTACAACATGAAAGGATGCTGTTGCAAAAGAAATAAGACATGCTGTGAACTTCCATCACTCAAGGAGGCTGTTTTCCTATTACAATTGTGGCAGCTTTCTGTTGTCCTTATAATAAAATTAGATTTTCACCATCTTTCATTGAACTGTAACTAACATAGGCAGCATGTGAACCCTAACAATATGAAGAGCTGTAGTTCTTTACGAATATTTTTTTTTGGGGGGGGATATTCCAGTAATTATAATCTTAGGTTTGCATTGAAGAGCGATCATATCTGACTATCTAAAAAGTCTCTCTTTATAGCAGGCCCTGTAGCTGGACCACTCACTTCAAATTTCGTCAGAAGTGAGGGAGGGGAAGGTTTCTCTCTCTCTTTTTTTTTTTTTTTTGACATTTCTTCAATGTCAAAAATGTTGACGTTGTTCCTGTTCACCGACAGGAACATCGCTCAGCTACAATTCTAATTCATTTAACCACGGCGGACGTGAACCGTTCCCCACCCTCGGACCCAGTTTCTATGGAAACCGAACGACCTTCCCCCCCCCCCATCGCGCCACTGTACGAAGACACGCGCGCCCACGACTTCGCCCAAGAGTTCTGCGCATGAGCCACGGGGACCCTATCAGGGTGGGGTTGAAATGGCTCTCAAGGCGCGCCCAGTACTGTTCACCCATAACCCAAAGCGGTACTGCGCGTGCGCAACTGCTACCCTAACAAGGGAAAAATTAAAAAAAAAATAGTAAACGAAGCAAAAAATGGAGTAACCAATAAGGCGGCCAAAAAAAAAAAAAACCAGCCAACCCTCTTTAAGTTGCGTTCTCCGCTTGCCGTACAAGGCGAGAATGGCCCAGGCGGGCGTTGCGCATGCGTGTTACCGGCGTCCGCGGTTCCGCTACTTCCTTCTTCCGCTTTGGGTTGGGAGGGTGCTGGTGCCGCTTCTTTGCCGGACGGAGGTGGAGGCGGCGATGGCGAAGCACACGGTCTCCTCCGCGCGCTTCCGCCGCGTCGATGTGGACGAGTACGACGAGAACAAGTTCGTGGATGAGGAGGACGGCGGGGATGGGCAGGTGGGGCCGGACGAGGGCGAGGTGGACTCGTGCCTAAGGCAATATCCTTCTGCTGCCTGGGCGGGCAGGCGGGGCACGTCATTCTCGGTGGGGTCCCCGCCAAGGAGCAGGAGGGCGATCACGGACTGCGAGTGCAGATCCCCCCCCCCGCTCTCAGCACGGGCAGTAGCGTCCTGGGTTACGGCGACCACATCTACCGACCCATGTGCACGATCTCTGGAGAGCAGCAAAGAAGCGCAGAAATGGGTCTTCGCTGCGCTCCAGGGACCGTCCGGATTTCTGCAGCCTGATTGAGGTCGTCCCAATAGTGTCACTATGATTGTTGGGTTGTTTTTTCTAAAGAGTTCCTTATTCAATTAATTTCGATTTTGCTCCTGAAGTCCAAACTCTCAAAACGGACTTGAAAAGTTCGTTCACTCCTTGCCTCGCCCCATCTAAATTGCAATGTGAACGGGGCCTATGAATTAGCAGAGCAAGGATCGCTGCTTGGAGCTTTTAATTTAGAGGGTACTTAAACAGTACGCTATTTTTACTTGGGATTAGAATAAAATAGAATCGAATTTTTTATTGGCCAAGTGTGATTGGACACACAAGGAATATGTCTTGGTGCATACGCGTTAGTAGCTTGGGAATTGCAAAATCTTTTGGATACTCTGCCTGTTATTGCTCTGGAGATGCTGCGTCTGGGTTAGAGCAATTCGTTATTTAACCCAACTTCAGTCGCCTGTAAATGTTTTGGTTCATCATCATAGGTTTTTCAAAGAAGAAAGAAAGCTATGGTTATAAAGTCAAAAAAGCTGTTACTGTGTTTTATGCTACTACAGCGTCCAATTTTAACTACAGGTTTAGTGTAAATAAGGTTGCAGTAATTCAAATTAGATGTGGGTTGTTTCTAATATCCCACCAAGAAATACTGAAGTAAAGTAATTCCTGATTCTTGACTTCTTAAAATGAAAAATCATGCTGTTATTTGGAAGTATTGCCATTTTTAAATAATGTAGATGTTTGTCTAAATATTTGTGTGAAATTTTGCTTTTCATTTTCTAATAAGCTTCCCTACTGCTTGAGAAAAAAATAATTGCTTAATATGACATGAATTTTCAAATCTGATTTCAAATTATTACATTTGGATTTTTCTTGGAGTTTACTTTTGCACACATTTAATAGATTTCAAGGTAATGAAATTGAGAGGAGTCCTGATTATAGTCTCCCCATTTCCTCTTCTCAGAAAAGGAAGTATATGGCTTCTGCAGGGGTTTTCTTTTTATAGAAACAGTTACATTTACAGTGCTGCTTAATTCTATAAGAGAAGTTATAGGAATAGAACCCATTGATATGTTATTTGAAAAGTATGGTTCTTATATTTTGTATCTCTTGTTCACAGTTATTTTCTTTGCTTATTAAGTTTAGTTTTTAATCATACTAATAACTATTCTTATCTTTGTACATATTACATGGTTTTGTAAGTCTAGGCAACAAAAGGTATTGGAAAAATGTATTCCTGTTGTTTCATGGTTTAATAGCTGAGTTGCAGTTCAGTGGTATTTTGCTGGTTCAGATCTATGGATCTTGTTGCACTGTGGATTTTCAGTTGAAAACTGATAAGCTGCCAACATTTGTTTTGACATCTCAGTAATATACTGTTGATTGTTTAATTGTTCAGAGATACTTGCCTAAAGATATGATGGTAAATTAATGCTACTTTTAGAATGGACAGTGGGGCATTTTTCAAAATATATCAACTTGAGATTTGAACCGAAAGCCACAAATTCACAAAAAAGCATTTGGCAAGCTGCTTTTCTATAACAAATTCTTGTTTCTTGAGGTTTTTAATAATAAATATAAGATAATTTGTTATATTTATCTTCTGTCTTTCCAATAAAGGAAAATGCAATTCATGATTGCTGACAAGTAATATTGGCTTGACTTTAGTGTGAAATGATAATATTTTTTTAGGAAATTAATATAATTTGTGCAAGAATTGGAACAGGATTTACATTTTCTAGAAAACTCTTGTAATCACTCACCTTACATGGCTTTTACAAAAATTCCAGTTAATATGTCTGAAGCACTTCTAATACTTGAAATGTGATACATTATTAGTAATAACATTGATTCTAAAAACTGGCAAGTTTGCCTTAACTGCTCTTCACAGGAAACATGATGGCAGCCCTACAGGCAGCTCTGAAGAATCCTCCAATTAACACAAAGAGTCAAGCTGTAAAGGTATGGTAACTGGATATTTTTTAAACTACAAAAATAGCCATTGGTAAACCAATTCTGCAGTTCAGAATATTTTCCATAAAGCATCTAAAGTAAACATGGTTTACTTGTGGTTTTGTAGCCTTAATTTTAAGAAGAAACAGAATAACAAGCAGATTTAATTAAACCCTTGATTTAAAAGCACAATAGGAACTAGAAAATTAGTTGTTAAACAGTATGATTATTAAGTGAAGCATCACATGACCACAGCCGATTATATGGCCTTTTACATTAATGAGACATCTTGCAACAGCATCTTGAGGTTGCAATCTTCCTTTCCGGCTTCCCCATTGACTTTGCTTGTTAGAAGCTGGCTGGGAAGGTTGGGAATGGCGATCATGGGATGCTTGCAACTTTTGTAAATTCACAATGGTTGCTGAATACGCAGATCACAGTTACGTGACTGTAGGATGCTGTCGCAGTTGTAAGTCACTTTTTTTGGCACTGTTGTAACTTTAAATGGTTGCTAAAAATGATAGTAAGTGGACCACCTGTATTAAGTAATCTTACTTGAATCTGACTTAATGTAACATGACCATTTAAAAAAATATTTTAGCATGAGCAGAGAACAGATATCATTTCTCGTTTGTCTGTTTCTTAATTGTGTGTTGAGGGTCTGTATTTTTAATCTTTAAATATCTTTATTAAATTTAAGCATATTTAAATAAAATAAATTTAAACAGCTTTAAATTCTGTATTCTTTAAGTTAATCTAAGCTTGTTTTGCTTCATTTAAAAATAACTTTCAGCTTTCTGAGTTGATACTATATATGGAAGGATCGTAATCTTGCTGATATAAATGACAGTAATATGAATTTTGAATTGAATGTGTCATTTTCCTAGAATTACACAAGAAAGGGTGATGTTGCTGACAATACTTTCAGTGGGGATGTGAACGTTTTTAGCATTATAAATAATGTATAATAATAGCACATTAAAAATATAAGTGCCATAGCTAAGTGCAGTGAAGGTATTGCATGATAAATATATGCTTCCATATATTTCCATTGGAAATATAAATGTTATTGCACTGTTCATTGCCTTTTCTTCTCAAGAAGTAGGGAATAACTGCTTTCCAATTCTTGCTGCAAGGCCCATCTTAAAGAAGGAAGGACCTTTCTGGCCTATATGCAATCTACGAACATGAGATTTCATACTGCAATCCTATATGTACTTCGTGAAAGTCTGCATTGTTGATTTCAGTGAGACTTATAAGTCATACTCCTAAATCAGAGCAAATGACTGATTCAAGGACATATTCGGCCAGAACGGCACTAAAAATGAAATTAGTACATACAATCAAATAATGATATCTAACACAAAAGTAATACCTAGTACAAAGAAGTGTTGCTTGAAAGAAAGAGAATATTAATCTTATTTTTTAATATTAGATTATTGAATGGTCTAATTTGGGTTGTTGTTCAATATACCATGGGATGCCTTTATTTCTTTTTCTGCCATCCACAAGTCATAATCAGAAGTCTAGCAATATATGTTCTTGAATGATTCCTAAATATTAGTTATTTCTGCATCAATAAGCCATATTTTTTGCTTGCTGCTTATTGAATATATTTGACATTTTAGGATAAACATTAATAGTATATCTTAATGCATTCCTGTATTTGAGCTCAGTGTATCTTAATTTCAAATAAATGTGTACTGGTTTGTAATCTACATCTCCAGACAGTCAGTTTTAGCTTTTGGTGTCTTCTGTATGACTCTTTCTTTCTGTCTCCAGGATCGTGCAGAGAGCATTGTCCTGAAAGTGCTCATCTCTTTCAAAGCCAATGATATTGAAAAAGCTGTGCAATCTTTGGATAAAAATGGAGTTGATCTATTAATGAAATATATCTACAAAGGTTTTGAGAGTCCCTCTGACAACAGCAGCGCTGTCTTGCTGCAGTGGCATGAAAAGGTACGTTAACACAGATGACAGATTTCTTTATTCTTATTAATGAGCTCCCTAAATTACTTTCTTGAGTTGGTAAGTGTAGTATACATTTTCAGCTTCTTCATATTCAGAAAGACTTCTGCTCAACATTGGATAAACGGAATTTGAATATGTGAGATTGGAAATGAGGTTTTCACTCATTGTTTGCTGTTTTGTTTCTAAGTCCTCACATTATAAGACATTGTCATATCATAGTTCTGTTACTTCAGATTTCCCTAAAGTGTGTGTGTGTGTGTGCGCGCGCACATACACACACCAGGGGTGAAATCTAGCAGGTTCTGACAGGTTCTGGAGAACCGGTAGTGGAAATTTTGAGTGGTTTGGAGAACCAGAAAATACCACCTCTGGCCGGCCCCAGAGTGGGGTGGGAATGGAGATTTTGCAATATCCTTCCCCCTGAAGTGGGGTGGGAATGGAGATTTTGCACTATCCTTCCCCTGCCATGCCCATTAAGCCATGCCCACAGAACCGGTAGTAAAAAAATTGGGATTTCACCACTGGCATACACACACACACACGCTTTAGGGAAATCTGAAGTAACAGAACTAAGACATGACAATGTCTTATAATGTGAGGACTTAGAAAAAAACAACCAACAAAGAGATGAAAACCTCATTTCCAACCTCACATAGGAAACAGCTGGAAAAGTCACATAAAAGAACTAAAAAGACCGGTGCCCAGAACTTCAAAAAGAAAATATATGTAAGAGTTGGAGAGCTGTAAAAAATAAAATTATACATAGGCTGGAAAATAATGTCCAATCAAGAACAGTCCTAGATTACCAATGAAAAGAAATGTAAAATAATGTACATTTATTACAGATAATTAATTTTCAGCTTTTAGAAAATGAAGGAGAGGGGGAATTCAAGGAGAATGGAAATGCTTCCCCCAGTTGTTAAAAAGTTTCATATTCATTGGTACGACATTAAGAATGATTTGAATAAAAGTGACAGGAACTGCTATCTAAAGAAAGTAGAAGAAACTTTTCGATTATGCCATTGAGCATGTTCTGTGCTCTTTAAATATTGCTGGCATATGTCCAATTAGCAATTTATACAGTGAACTAAGTGTACATTACAGCAAGAGATTTAGCTGCAAATATAAACAAAGCAGACACGATTCTGCCAGTGATTTGTATTGTAAAGCTGTTTGTGTAGCCATCTCTCTTCCCCACCCCCATGATACTAGGTTTCTTGTGTGGAATGCTGGTATTTCTAATTTTCTAAACCTCTTTGTATTAAAAATTTCATAAACATCCATAATTAAATTTACTCTGTGTGTATGATTGTTCTTCTGTTTTGCAGGCTCTCGCTGCTGGAGGTGTAGGTTCCATTGTCCGCGTCTTAACTGCCAGGAAAACAGTTTAAGTCCAGCGAAAAATCCCCTTCTGCCATGGGTGTGGGAAATGCTGGGTACAAGACCAAAAAAACCAATTGCCATCACTGCCCTGTGGGTAGCATCTGTCTCTCTTGGCTTGCCTTTTTGCTTTTTCATAATCTGTGGCTTAATAGACATATCAAACTTTTTGTGAAATGTTGGATAAATGTAAAAAAAAAAAAAATGAAAATTTGTTTTTAAGAAGATACCTACAGAAGATTTTAATAACAAATGCAAATTTTTGCATTGGAGCTACATTTTCAGAAAATCATGACAAGACACTGCCTTTCCCTCTTCAGATAGATTTTCTGAGCGGGGATTGACATCAATATTTTAAATTCCTTAGCTAGTCAGGCAGCATTCCATGTAATCTGTCGCAGGTGGGATCGCTTTTTAAAATTGGGGGGGGGGGAAAGCAGGACCTTGCTTTTTTTTTTTTTTTTAATCAAACGGTAAAAGTTATGCCACCTAGCAAAGGTCTATGGAAAGGTTTGTGCATTGTTGTGTAAATGTTTTTATAACAATTGAATGCAACCATTTGTAATGAATTCATTACAATCGCTTGCTGTTGCAATGAATTATTTAAGGAAAGGAACAGAGATCATTTGAGGGAATTCAGTTTAACAGTTGCCTCTTGATAATGTAATATGTGTAAAGAAGGATTAGTGCAAAACTACACACTGCATTTGACTGGGGCTGCTGCCAAAGAACTTTTCTTTGGGATGACATTTTCCCTTAATTTCTAACTTCCAGTTACCTCTTGCACCACTCTTTGATAACTGTTTTCCTGTGTACATAACTCATAAAATGTGCAATTAACATAAAAATTACTCATGATACCAGAATGTGGGACCACAGATTCTATACGTTATACTGGAGCAATGAGAGAAATGTCACACAGGGATGCTAAGTTGATATTGTCCCCCTAGCAATTTAATGTATAGTTTTATCTGAAAATGCAGACATTCCTTGATCAGTATTCAGGTACTGTGACCTAGAGGATCTTGAATTTTGCTCTTATTATGGTCATATTCCAAGTTGTATTAAATAAGATGATGTCGATCAGGGAGAAAAAAAAAATCACCTATAACACAGTAAGGCATGAGTTTCCTAAAAGATGTAGAGCATTCCAGAATGAAAGCAGCTTGAATGTGACTTTGGAGCAAAGATCGCTAATATATTCCATTTACATTTAATGGAATTAGGAAGATTTTGCTCATTTTTATATCTTGCTTTTTTTGTAAAATGAAAAATAATAAAATGGTCACTGTTAAATATTAATTTTCAAAGTGTGGTTTTCTTGCCTGTTACTAATGTATACTTAGAGAAAGAGTAATGAAAAGAGAACAATAAGAATCATGAAAGACTAATAAGTGATAGGAACGTGCAGTAATCCAGATTCAGAGAGCAAAATATGATTCAGTGTGTGTTGCCAGTATCTGGCACTTATAAGAGACACCTTAACATGCATCCTTCCAGAGACTGTGCAGGAGCTGCAGAGTCAAAAAATGCCAGTGTTTTAAAATGTTCCCCACATATGCTTGGTGCCTGCTCACATACCCTGGAGATCAGATATTGCTGCTTGAATACAGATTGCTGCAAAGCTCTATTCAATGAACTTTCAAGGAAAGTCAATTAAGGTCTTGCAAAGTGTTAACCACAAAAGGTGGTTTTCTCACAGCCAGTCACAAAGTACATGTATATCGGTCCATGTACACCTAAAGGGGTGTCTCACTACTGGTTTATCTTTCTCCTTTTTCTGAGTAATTGATACATTATTGAATTGAATAGAATACTTTATTTGGCCAAGTGTGATTAGTCTCACAAGGAATTTGGTACAAAAATATTCTGTGTACATGCAAAGCAACAGAATAATCCGATAAAAGCGGGAATAAAGAAGACAAGAAAGATAAACAATACCACAGTGAGAGTGATGGCATAAAGGGAAAAAACTGTCCTGGTGTCTAGTTTTGGCATACAATGCTCTATAGCAGTGGTCACCAACAGGTGGTCCGTGGATCACTGGTGGTCCATGAGAAAATTTTGGTGGTCTCCAGAAAAATTATTTGCATTTTTTATATTGCACTAAATCAGGGGTCCTCAAACTACGGCCCCTGGGCCGGATACGTACAATGAATGTTTATGCTGCTGCAGAGAGTCTCCCCCTTTGGGGTCTTTTTGTGTGGGTCGGAGGGGGGCAGAAATTCCGACTTGGGGTCTGCTTCAGCCTCCTGGTATGGGGCTTTGGACGAAGGCTGGAGGGAAGTGTCGCTGCTGGCGAAGAGCTGGAGGACCTTGTTCCAGTGGGACTGCATCATGGCCTGAAACTGGCTGACCATCTCAGCACGCTGAGCCTCCAGGCACCAGTACCTGGCCTTGCACTCCTGCAGGTCTTCCCTCTTTGGAAAGCTTATGCTCGTAGTCCTCAGTGAGGTGCTTCTGCTAAGCCTCCTTCTCGGTCATATCCAATTTGAATTGAGCCAGCTGTTTTGCCAACTTTCTCGTGGTGGCTGCTTAGCTCCAGCAACTGCTTCCTGTTGGGGCTCTAAAGAGCCCAGGCGGGCAGGCGAGGAGTAGCAAGTAGAGGCTGGCAAGGTGCCCCTCGACGTGAGTGACATTGAGTTGGCCACGCCCACCCAGTCACATGACCACCTTGCCATGCCCACACAGCCGGTCATTAGGCAGATCATATTAGTGGTCTGCATCATTTAAAATTATGAATTTAGTGGTCCCTGAGATCCGAAAGGTTGGTGACCCAGAGGTCTCCAATCTGAGCTACTTTAAGCCTGGCGGATTTCAGCTTTGCTGGTTGGGGAATTCTGGGAGTTGAAGTCCGCCAGGCTTAAAGTGGCCCAGGTTGGAGACCCCTGCCCTATAGCACTGTCCTGAGGGAAGGAGTTAAAACAGTTTATGTCCAAGATGTGAGGGGTCTGTGGATATTTACTCAGCTCTCCTGACTCGAACAATGTACAGGTCTATGGAAGACAGGCTGGTTGCAATTGTTTCCGCAATCTTAACTGCTGGGGTCTGTACCTGTACCTAACCAAACAGTTATAGAAGTACAAATAACAGACTCAATAATTCCTCTGTAAAACAGATCCTGGGGCAGTCTGAACTTCCTGCAGGAAGAACATTCTTTGTTGTATGCATTCTTTTTAATTAAGGTTCTAATGTTGAGCATCTATTTCAAGTCCTGGGATATTATACAACGGAAAAACTCTGTTACTGTGCTGTCGAATATAGTAGGAGGCAGTAAAATAGAAGGGCTCCTAAAATCCACTCTCCTCAACAGTTTTAAGTATGGTCAGCTCCAGATTGTTATGTAGAATAGAATTTAATTCTTTATTGGTCAAGTGTGATTGGACACACAAGGAGTTTGTCTTTGGTGTATACGCTCTCAGTATACATAAGGAGAATAAAATACATTCATCAAGAATAAAAAGATACAACACTTAGTGATAGTCAAGGTTACTAATAAGCTATCAAATTGTACTAGGAAACAAATAATGTATGTACAGGCAAATAATGTATGTACTATAGGGCCAGTTTTTGTTTAACCTCCCATCTATATGCAGATTCATCAGCGTCTCAAATGAGTCCTAAAATCGTTATATTGTCTGCAAACTTCAGAACTTTATCAGAGAATTCCCTTGTGGTACAATATCAAAAGAAAGTATTAGGCTGCACCACTTAACTATTCTTTATTTTCTAATAATGCATTTAAGGCATTTGTGGGATCCGGTTGTATTTTAGGAACTAAAAATAAGGATGGATGCTAATGCTTTGCACTATGCTAGATTCCCATTAAAAATGTTTAAATCAAATTGTCAACCAGAAGTAGAACACAGAGCCAGATAGGCATTAGTCAAGTATCCTGAAGAATATTGATTCCCATGGATACCATGCTGCAGTTATACAGCTTCACGTAGTGAGAAAAAAAGACCCTAAGATTACTGTTCTATTGCTTTACAAAATAAGATTTAATCAAATTGAACGTATCCTGTTTCTCAGAATTTTGAATTGAGTTTTTTAAAAAATGCCACAGATACATTTTTCTTTTAACAGTTTGTCCCTTATATGGTGCCCCTAAACTATGGAACGCCTTGTCACAGAATTATTTCTTAAGTTGTAATGATTTTTATTGTCAGGAACACTTGTAAGTTGAAGTCTGGGCAGCTTTTAACTGTTACATCCTGACTTGTTAATAGATGCTTCTTTCTTCTACAGAATTCAAACAAGTTTTATACATCCCTGGGCAACTGCCCCTCTAATCTTCACAAAGCACTTTTCAGCAGCTCTAAGAAATGACAAGATTTAATAGCCGTCTGTATGAGAAAAGTACCACTACGAAATTCTGGTGATTTTTTATTACTGCTTTGAAGGAGAATATGCAGAATGTATACAGTAAATCATGGCAGATAACAAATTGGATGTAATATGGATGTATTATTCTGGCATGCAAATAGGACACATCCATTGGCTTAAAATACTTGGTGAACTAGAAGTTATAATTTGAAAGACTGATTAGGCTTCATTGTGTTTAATATGCCTCATTTGCCAGGTGGGAGACTGCATTTTGCCTTTCATTCCCAAAGGTGGATGAAGCTATCACAAACTACATTTAATTTACATTTAAATTAAATGTAATTAGTACTGTTCATACAATTATTTCCCATGTGTTAACAACTTTTTTCTTCTTACACATTAAAAATTACAACATCAGTGCAACTTTGGGAGGGGATTTGGCAGCAATGACAAATTGGTAGGTTGATCCCTAAATTAATGTAAAATACAATCATTCTAAGTGATGTGCATACACTGGACCACAGGTTAGACTTGGAAATAATCTAGCTGAGATACAAGTAAGTTGGTGAAACTACATCATTAAAACATACTGTAAATACGGTAGTAACAATGTATGTAAAAATACTTTGGCCACCAAATGAGAAAAGAGGACTCACTGGAAAAGACCCTGATGTTGGAAACAACTGAAGACAAAAGGAGAAGGGGATGACAGAGGATGAGATAGCAATAGCACTTAGACTTATATATCGCTTCACAGTGCTTTACAGTCCTCTCTAAGTGGTTTACAGAGAGCATATTGCTCCCAACAATCTGGGTCCTTGTTTTACCCACCTTAGAAGGATGGAAGGCTGAGTCAACCTTGAGCCTGGTGAGATTCAATCTACCAAATTGCAGGCAGCCAGCAGTTAGCAGAAGTAGTCTGCAGCACTACATTCTAACCACTGCGCCACCACAGCACTTATGGGCAATGGCCTTCCCCATGATGGCAAATTTATGGCACGCATGCCAGAGGTAGCACATAGCACCCTTTCTGATGGCATGCGAGCCATCGCCCCAGTTCAGCTCTACTGTGCATGTGTGCGCGCCTCCCGTTGGCCAACTGGTCTTCGGCTCTCTGCTGCGTGGGGCGGGGTGCTGCGGGGGGACATGTGCGCATGCGCAGGGAGTGGGGCATGTGCACAGGGCTGTGCGCACATTGCATTTTGGGGGGTTGGGCATGCACATGTGCATTCTCACACACACACACGCTTTGGCCACTTGGTCCAGAAAAGGTTAGCCATTACTGGCCTACCCAATGAGGTTGATGGGTTGAAATAGCTATTGGAAAATGTCACAATTCTATATATCTTTACCATCAACAGATTAACATAAATGCCTTACAAATGTGAAATAGCTTTATAAAAAGATAACTCAAGGTTTACCTTTCACCTTTTCTTAGTCAATAGAAAATACATTTATCTGGGAAAATCTACATTTTCTTTCTGACAAGAAAGTAACTGCATATGCACAGTTTCATAAGGTCTGTAAATATCAAACAGTTATTTCTATTCCATGCTGCTTTTTTCAGAACAGACAAGATCTTGTCGCTCTATACTACACTTGTTATCCATGGATTTTTTTTTTCTTCATGGGAAAGCAGAAAGATGAACAACATCCAAATTGTGTGAATACAATTTTATATATAACAGCCAATAAAATATGCAAGGATAAAGATATGCAAGGATATAGAAAGTGCCTGGTTAGACAAAAAGCATAACATTACAAGCAAGCTTTCAGTTTTAATATTTGTTTTAACATATAATAAACTTTGAATTTTGGATTTTTTAAAGAGCGGTTAGATTTGTTGTCTAACTTCCCTACTGTTGTATGGATAAACTACCACTGATTTTACAATCTGGTTTTAACTTTAATATTAAAGTTAAATATCCAGCAGTATTATTTACCGTAATAGCTAATTGGAACCTCTGATGCCAAAGCAATATCATTTATGTGCTCCAGATTATGACTAGAAGATGTTGATACTATTTTTAATGTGAACCGACAACACGTGTATATATGTATTTATTACAACATTTCAACACCACTGTATTTCAACCAGATTGATGTTAGTGCCTTGAGATAATGCAGACAGGAAACCAGAACCATGAATACTAACAGTACTTTTCTTATAAGGTTATACAGTAACAGAAATTTGCAAGTCTGAAGAATTAGGATGGTTCTTTTCTGAGATGCTTCCTCCATCTCCATCCCTTATTTAGATTCAGATTCCTCTTTTCAGACGGTTGTCTAGACTGTGGTTCTTCCTCCAATATCCCAAGTTTATGCTCACAGACCATTACAATAATCCATAAATCACTCCACCATAGATACCACAAAAAATTACAAAATAGCCCAATCCACCACTCACATTGAAACTCTGCTTGAATAGGGTGGTTTTCACAGCTTCGTCAAAGACAAATAAAATGGGGTTGCCCTGTGATTCAGGGGCGAGGATATTCCATAGCATGGGGCCAACAGTAAGAAAGGGCTACCTTGATTCTCCTTGGGCAGTAAAGGCCCTCAAGAACTCTTCCTGGGATGAATCTGCATAGGCTGATTCTAGATGGGAGAAATGATCACAGAGGTACATGAGTGCCAAACTATGTAGAGCTTTAAATATTAAAATCTTTAAATCTTGAATTGGGCATAGAAGTAAATTGGAATCCAGTGAAGAAGCATGAAAATAAATATATGCTGCTTGTGTTTCTACAGGTAGCTTTCAGACAATACTGGTAGTCCTTGACTTACAACCATTCATTTACTAACTATTAAAAGTTACTAAAAACCATTAAAATTACACTGAAAAAGTGACTTGTGACCATTTTTCACACGACCTTTACAGCACGACCTGGGATTAAAATTCAGAGCCAGCTTGTCAACTGGCTCATATTTATGACGATTACAATGTTCCAAGGTCATGTGATCATCTTTTGCAGCCTTCTGACAAGCAAAATCAATGGGGAAGCCACATTCATTTAACAATCGGGTTACTAATTTAACAACTGCAGTGATTCGCTAACAACGTTGGCAAGAAAGGTCACAAAATGGGGCAAAACTCACTTAACAAATGTCTCACTTAGCAGCATAAATTTTAGGCTATGTTGTCGCCATAAATTGAGGATTACCCGTATTGCTGATGTTTGGTCTAAAGTTTCATTTTATAATAGCGTAACAGCTGTTTTCTAGTATTGCAATTTTTAAATCAAGTCAAATATTTTTATTATGGACTTTGATCAGCCTTTACGATAGGAAAAGATTTGGCATAGGAATTCATTATCGGGGGTGGGTGGGGAAGAAAACAATAAGACAAAAACACACCATGTGCTATCTGAGGTAAATATAGCAAATAAAGAATAATGTAGATAAAAGAAATAATGTGAATAAAATAGGAATCATACAGAGTCAGATATATGGGCTCTGGGGGACCCTCTCTATTCACATTATTATAAGGGGAAGACGTGCTTGGATACATGAACTCTGAGAGACCCTATCTATTCACATTATTATAAGAGAGGAAAGTGCTTGTTGGAAATTACATTAACAAACAATTAAATCCCTTTAAGTGGTAATATATCTTCTGAGACCTAGATGTCACGGAAAGGACTGCCATATGGAAAAACATCTGAGTGACCTAACTGTGAATGACACAAAGACCTATATGTTACAAAGAGTTACTTAATCCAATAAACTTACCCAAGGACAGTAGTAACTCTCCCATTAGCAACTCTGAGTACTTAAGAAAAGTTGTGCGGCTAAGATAATTTTGTAAACTAAGATTAATGCTTTAAGTAATTAGATGAACTTATTATCCAGTGTATGTAACCATATAAGGAAAATCGGATGTATGATCTCATGATTAACCATATATGGAAAATGTATGATCTCACTGAATCCTTTGTCTTAGAAATGTATAAAAACCATCGTATCAGAGTTCTTTCTTTGTTCAAAGCTTCAGGTACAAATCTGGCTCTGAACCTTGCGCAATAAAGCTGTCTCTGACTGACCTGGGAATGTTTTTTAGTCCTTCCATTCCACAACAAATCGGTTGCATGACCTTACAAAGATATTTGGCTACCTGGTATGTGAGTATAGAATTAGCATCTCTTAAAAAAATAATACATAGACAATTTATCAGTATGAATATCAGTATGATCGGAGCTCCTCTCTGAGGGAGATGGGCAGTTAAGAAATAAGGAACATAAACTATTATATATAAAATGTAAAGATGACCGGGGCAATCAGAGCACTTCCTGGGGCATCATAAAAAGGACACCATATGAAGATATGGTCAAGAGGATTTATCTCCCTGGATCCACATGGGCAAAGTCACTGTCTATAAGGAATCCCACCAAAGCTTCCTGCCAGCAATGCAGTCCGTCAAAGTGGACTCTGGAAAAGGCCCATCTATATTTACTTAGAATTAGATTGTATAGATATCCCGCAGAAGAGAGTTTACAGCTCTCTAACATTTTGCAATAGAATTCAGGAATAATAGTGATAATATTTTGGCAATCAATGCCCCTAATTCTTTCTATGCTATTGATTTGGCTTCTCCCAAGAGTTAACTGGCTTAAATATTCTGGAGAGAGGCCAAGACTGCAAAACTCTTTCCATAAGTACGGTGCCAGTGAGATTGGTAGCTGTCTGATGACAGCAGAGGCATCAGGTCAGTAGTGTCAAAAATGATTCTGAGTCCTGAGATTAGCATCCTGGTCCAGGCCTGACCGTTAATGCTTGGCACACTCACTTCAAACCTAAGACTACATTAGGGGTGCAATTTAGGGTGCTAAATAAGCCCTAAGAAAATGATTTCCTAAATCCTTAGGTTTTTGTATGGCCCAAGTATGGCATCCATATAATAGTTGGGCAACTGTTTTAGCCAGAAAGTATTGGATTGCCACTGGAATGTTATTAACCCCGTTGCCTATAAAATTTAGTTATTGCTAGTGTACTCTTTTGGACAGTAGAAGTGACATAATTTACTTGGACTGTTAATTTCCCAAAAACCTGAAATAACGATATCCAAGATTTAAACCATTTGATTTGCTCTGTTTCCCAGGAATCAGTTTTTCACTTGTGCCTTTGTCATTTGTTGGAAAACTGATGATATGATATAGTAAAACTTTGGATTTATCATAGTTGATAATTAGGTGTTCCTCATTACAGTGGGATGCTAGGATCCTTAATGCTCACTTGCTATGGGGCATTTTTGCCAAAAATTGAAAGCAAACTCCAGTTTTCAGCAAAATCATAAAACACAGTCATTAACTGAAGGATGCAGCAAATGAATATAAATGCAAACCAGTTGCTGAGCACCTGAAATGTGGTCACATGACTATGGTGCATAGGCCCAACCACTGGAATTGAGTTGTAATTACTTTTAAGGTGGGCCTTGTAACTTTGAATGGTCACTAAGTGATTGGTCATAATTTGAGGACTATCCATCCGTATATTGGTTTTCTTGTATCATACAGATGACAGCAGAGCTCTGTGAAGCAAAGGTCATATTCATATGATTTTCCTTTAGTCCCCCTCTTCCTTCAGTTGCTCCATTCATACTCGGTGTTGCATTTTCAACAGCCACATGAGTTTGCAAACCTGCAGTTCCCTTTGAGTTGCTCAAAGCTTCTGTAGCAATCTTGGAGAAGAAAGCTTGTGACTCATTTGCTAGATAGATTCAGAACTGACTGTTTATAATGAGACACTGACAGAACACATGAGAAATTGCATCTTGCTGGGGGAGGTAATGATGCATTACACATCTTAGTGAAGAAAAAAAAATGCTTTGCATCACAGGAAAAAATGGCTTTCTATACACTGGAGTTGTCCGTACTTTAAGCCAAAGTTCCTTACTTTAGCCGAAAGCTTTACCCTGTGACCCTGCATAACTCAGAAAGAGGAAGGAAGGAAGAAAGCGTTGCTTCATTTTTAAAGTTTTCTCTGTACAGATAAAAGAGCATTTGTCTCTGTTCAGGAGAATGTGATGAGTCATAATTCTTCATCTTCTCCATTGCGGAGAAAGACATCACTATACAGAACCAATTTTTCTAAATAAAGAACTTCCGATTTTTTGGGTGTGTGTGTGAGGGGTTGTAAGGATGTATCTGCCTTGTGGGCAAGAGGTTACCATCTTTTTTTCTTGAAAAGTAAGGTGAAAGAACGATGGTTAAGGATTTGCCCACCCTTGAACCATCCATGAAATAATATGTTCAGTTTATGGTGTCTTCCAAAAATTGCTGTTTTTAAAACAGGAATATTCATTCTCCCAGTAGGACTAGCCTCACTTCAGAGAGAGAGAAAAGGAAGATGGAAGTATTTATTTATTTATTATTTATTAATTCAATTTGTATGCTGTCCCTCTCCGAAGACTCAGGGCGGCATACAAGTATTGTTGTTATCACCATCAGCTAGTTCTGATTGGATTTGGTACTTTAATTATTGGTTCCTTCCTAAAGATTTAGGATGGCTAAAGATCTCATCATCATATGTGCTATTCTAGATAATGCAACTTTTTGTAATTGATGAGTTGAGATTCTGCCCATTCCTATAGCATTCAAATCAGTGGTGAAATGTAAAATTTGTTCCTACCAGTTCTATTTCCCCTTGGTGGGGGAGGGGGTAATGTGACTGGGTAGGGGTGGCCAACTTTTTTTTTTTTTTACTTTTAAAAGCATTTTTTTCTGCAACCTCTTCAGCCAAAGAGGTTATAAAAATGCTTTTAAAAACCTCTGACGATCAGGCAACCCAGCTGGGATCGTTAGAGGCATTTAAAAGCTTTTTTTTTTCCTACAACCTCCTTGGCCAAAGAGGTTGCAGAAAAAAATGCTTTTAAAAGCCTCTGACTATCCCAGCTGAGCCGCACAATCATCAGAGACTTCTTTTTTTACTTTTAAAAGCATTTTAAAATGCTTTTAAAAGTAAAAAAAACAGCCTCTGGTGATCGCGCGGCTCAGGTGGGCATGTGGGGAGGGGGCCGCGCAGGGATTTTTGCTACTGGTTCTCCGAACCACCCGCTGCCATCGCTACCAGATCGGGCGATCCTGTTCAAACCGGGAGCATTTCACCCTTGATTCAAATGCTTTTTCAGATATTTTGGTATGGCACCAAATGCATCTTCCACTATTGGCACTACTATTACTTTCTTTTTGCACATTCACTCTATCTTTATTTGAAATTCTGTATATTCTTTCTCACCTTCTAAGGTCAGTTATCCATATTTATTTTTTCTACAGTCATGTCTGGCTTATTTATGGTTAATTGCACAATCATCCAGGTGTTTAGTCTGGATTTGGCATTTTTATCCAACTATTGAGTCCTTCCCAAGCATCTGGGATGGGCAGATATTGTTTCATGATGTTAAAGATATCATCACAGAATTATTACGGTTGGTGATAAAATTAGCCAGATGTTTAGACTGGATTGGCATTCTTATCCATCTATCAAGTTCTTCTCAAGGACAGGGGCAAATGTTTCATCATGTTAAAGGTACAGGTAGTTCTCGACTTACAACAGTTCACTTAGTGACCATTCAAAGTTACAACGGCACTGAACAAAGTGAT